TTACTTTCGAGTAACATAGGCTCACCGCACTTTACTTTCTAGTACCATAGGCTCATCACACTTTACTTTCTAGTAACATAGGCTCATCACACTTTACTTTCTAGTAACATAGGCTCATCGCACTTTTACTTTCTAGTACCGTAGGCTCATCGCACTTTACTTTCTAGTACCGTAGACTCATCGCACTTTACTTTCTAGTACCGTAGGCTCATCGCACTTTACTTTCTAGTACCGTAGGCTCATCGCACTTTACTTTCTAGTAACATAGGCTCACCGCACTTTACTTTCTAGTAACATAGGCTCATCGCACTTTACTTTCTAGTAACATAGGCTCATCACACTTTACTTTCTAGTACCGTAGGCTCATCGCACTTTACTTTCTAGTACCGTAGGCTCATCGTTCTTTACTTTCTAGTAACATAGGCTCATCGCACTTTACTTTCTAGTAACATAGGCTCATCGCACTTTACTTTCTAGTACCGTAGACTCATCGCACTTTACTTTCTAGTACCGTAGGCTCATCGCACTTTACTTTCTAGTAACATAGGCTCATCGTTCTTTACTTTCTAGTAACATAGGCTCATCGCACTTTACTTTCTAGTAACATAGGCTCACCGCACTTTACTTTCTAGTAACATAGGCTCACCGCACTTTACTTTCTAGTAACATAGGCTCACCGCACTTTACTTTCTAGTAACATAGGCTCACCGCACTTTACTTTCTAGTAACATAGGCTCATCGCTGAATTCTCTTTCCTTTAATGTTTCTGCCAGTCTCGCTTGCAGAGCCCTTCAGTATAATCTTTCCAGCTTCTCTTGATCGCGCCTTCCTCTGTTAGATCTTTTCCGTATTTGTTTTTCAGAACCCCATTCTTGATGTAAATTTCTCTGCTGTCATTTTGATCTTCGTAAAATGTCTATAGTTTTCCCTCTTCTGTTATTCTTATCTATCTCTTGACATTCCTGGTCAAGATGTAACTCCATCTTTCTTCTTTGACGTTAGTTATAATCCTGCATTCAGTCGTCTAATTTTCTCCAAATCCCGTGTAGCTTTTGCTCTCCATTTTCCTCCTCAATCGTGATAGCTTGTTCCGAGAGCCACTTGGTTTCTTCCTTCTCTTACCTCTTCCCAGAATTCGTCTGGCTGTCTGTTCATCATATTGACCACATAATATCTGTTTTAGCCTCTTTTGCAAACTTCGGTGGGATATCTTCTAAATTGCATCCTATTGGTTTTGTAGCCTTTTTCACTTTTTTTCAGCTTTATCCGAATTTTTGATACTTGTAATTCATGATCTGTTCCACAGTGAGCGGCTTTTAAAGTCTTTACCGATTCAACAGCGCCTTTCCATCGTCTACTGAAAAAAAGTAGTAGTCTATTTTATTTCGATATTGGCTGTGTGGTGAAGTCGAAGTCTATGTGTAGAATCCATGCTTAGGCTGTTTGAAGTAGGTGTTGGCTATACATAGAGCGTTTTCTTCATAAAATGTAAGCAATCTTTCTCCTACTTCATTTCGTACCCCTAATCCACATTTTCTTTCAATTATTGGTTCTTCCATTTCTCCAATTTTGCATTTCAGTAATAAACAAAACACCCTTGTTTTTTGGTGTAGTGTCTATCAATTATTGTAGCTTGTCATAGAATTCGTCCAGCTTCTTCTCTTCAGCGTCTGTGGCGGGCGCTTAGACTTTTATAGTAGTTGTATTAACTAGATGTCTTTTAATTCTTTGGATATGATTTTATTGTTCATCGGGTTTTAACCCAGTGTTCGATCAGCAATATTCTTTTGAAGAATTAATGTCACTCAATTTCTTCTAATAAACTCGTGGCCACAGTAGAATACATTGAAATCATCTGATTGAAAATGGCCCATCCTTATCCATTCAAGCTCATTTATCCCCAAGATTTCCATCTTGGTTTGTTCCATTTTTGCTTTGACGATATCCAACTCTCTCTGATTCATGCTTCTGGTGTTCGAAGTCCAAATGGTATATGTATTTGCACAGTTAGGAACAAGTCTTTCGTTTCTAAAGGTATCAATGGCTGAACATCCTTGCGGCTGTGATCCACCCACATCATTACAGCCATATCTACTCAACCAAGTTCTTCGCTCTTACCCAGTAGCTAGTGAGGTGCCTTCTGATCTGGAGGTCTCATCGTTCAGTACCTAATCTAGCATACCAGTTTAAAATTAAGATGGCTACGTTCAGATAACCATTTCTATAGCTAGGGATGAAACACAAATACCGTGTGCGTTCCAAATGACCTCATAGGGCTTTAACATAAATGTCTCTTGTGAAAATGCAGATGATTTTACTTTGAATAAAAAATTGTTTGCAGCATCTTTTTGAAGTTCATTACGTTAAACGGTCTGAATTTTAGTTGACCTTAATGAAATTGAATAAGTACAGTTTCTGTATGTTTACTTTTTATTTTGTGGCATGTATTTTTACTCTGACTAATACAGTACAAAAGTTTGAAACAAAACTTCTTAAATAGCACACTTTCTTACAAGCGTGTATGTGGAAACGATCATCGTTTAAAGTGAAATTATAAAACAAATCTAAAGATTAGATTGACGAACAAATTCCACTAATAAATCAATTTATGAACTTATGATGATTAGAAAAATATCATTACATATGAATATACTTTTACAAAAAATTGTCGACAGTTATATAAAGCGAAGAAGGTGTAAGAAAAAGACATCTCGTTATCTTGAATAATATTTAAAGAGAAACGTTTTCAGGCAGCTAAGACAGAAAACAAAGAGCTTCGCATAAAAGCCAGACACACAAACTAGGGTATAAACTAAAATGTAGAATATACACAGCGTGGTAACAAGTAAATAGACTTAATATCACCATTTTCATAACATTACTAGAACAGTCTTTATGCGCTAAATTACTAAACAAATCTTACATTATTAGAAGAAGTCCTCCAGAGTGTGATATCACAGTTCTATGAGTCGGGTGTCTGTCTTTCTTGTAGCCAAAAATCCCCAAACAAAGTCCCACGATCAGAGCGCCCTCTAATAACGCTACAATCACACATACTGTGAAACCTCCCCACCACCTGGAGACATAAACATATCTTATTTAAGAAATATTAAAAATAGATAATCCATAAACAGCTACACATTAAAATCTATCTATTAACTAAATCCAGAGCGATTATGATGTTGGCACTAACAGTATATTAAATATTGCATAGTAAACATTGTAGTAAACGTCTTTTAGTTTAAAATAGCCAACATGTAATGTACACATAAATTTCTTTAAAATCACTCATACTATGTAAAAATAAAATAATCCATCAAGGTTTTCAAAATCCACTTGAAGTTATTTCGACCTCTATGAGAGGTATTTTACAAACTGGTTTTCAAATGTTCCGTATAATAAATGATTCTATTCAAGCTAATATAATAGTTTTATTATTAATATAACAATAATTTTATGATTAGGCCAAATGTATAATAAAATTTCAGTTAATTTCAATATAATTTTTAAACCTGCACACGCGAGACAAGTAAGGTAAGATCCAATAGAAACATAAACGCTGAACTTATCCTACCTGTAACCTTCGTAGGGTTCTATTAGGTCCATTGTTTCTTGAACGGTTCTTCTTCCAACATTTGTTTGTTTCAACACCTTGAATAAAAGAAGAAAAATAAGAGCTCAATGTTATGTATTTGCCTAATCCTTCAATAAAAAAATCACGTGCACGGATGCAATATATCATTAGATGTGCAGGAGTTCGTGAATGGTTCATGTCACAAAAAGGGTCTTATATTGGTCCAAAATTACTAACTTTTAATTTTTGATATGTGCATGAATGCTATGTTCTTACATTCTAAAGTGCAAAGCTACTTGAACCAAACATCGCTAAGCTTCCGAAGATACCAACAGCAACAAAAAATGTCATAACAGCATTTCTATAGAATTTATCACACTTTACCAAAAGTATCGAAACACTCCTTAAGCAGCTGACATGGTGCAATCAGGGTGCTTTAAAATGGAACCCCTCAAAAATATACCAAGAAAGATGTCTTGGATGTTTCGATTAGTGGTGTCAACGTCTGAACAACAAGCCTAAAGTTCAAAAATTCTGTGAGAGTTTAGGGGGTTAGAAGTGTAGAAAAATGGTATCTATAACTGTAGCTATACTTGGTCTTTTGAGATGTGTTCTGCTTAGTCAACGTACCGGAACTTGATGGTGTAACATATATACCATACTTTCAGGCTATCACAAAACGTGACAAACATCATTTGTAAAGTTCACAAGAAATCTTTCTCGCGAAAGGTTTGTAGAACTTGTAGCTTATTCTTCACGAGTGTAGGTATTTGAAGTTCGTGGAACTCACTAGCAGTTATCCCAATGGACGAGTGCACATTTTTGGAATTAGTTTGTTTGTTTTGAATTTTGCGCAAAGCTACACGAGGCCAATCTGCGCTAGCCGTCCCTAATTTAGCAGTGTAAGACTAGAGGGAAGGCAGCTAGTCATCACCACCCACCGCCAACTCTTGGGATACTCTTTTACCAACGAATAGTGGGATTGACAGCCACATATTAACGCCCCCACGGCTGAAAGGGTGAGCATGTTTGGTGTGACGGGGATTCGAACCCGCGACACGCAGATTCCTAGTCGAGCTCCCTCGCCTCTTGGCCATGCCGGGTCATTGGAATTAGTGCGGTTTAACACTTCACGACTATAGATATTTGGTGTTTGTGTACTCTACTCTTGTCGAGTGTAGGTATTACGAAGAGCTAGGATACTTACTGTACCTCACCCCATAATAATGCTCTGCATCATTTTGCTTGGTTTAAATTCTGCATTTTTGACCAGTGGTCGAGTACTTTATGGAGTGGTCAGAACCACTGTATCAATTTCCAAAGTGATGTCAAATTATTCTGTCTGTAGGCAAACAAATAAACATTGATTATCAGTGTGTTGTGTCAACTATATAAACGATTCTGGTAGGTATTTTATGGTTCAGAGGTACCTGTAAACTGTGTGCAGTCTCAGTACTCATGGATATCACGATAAACTTTGTAATTACCTGTGTAAATGGTTTCCACAGTAAAAGTATCTATGAATGAATATGTACAACAGTTTTCGGAAATACAAAATATACTACAGTAATAACAGTTACGGCGACATGGTTAAACTGGTAGAATTAGTTCTAAACGTATTGTCTACTTTCATAGAGAGTTTAATAACAGTTACGGCGACATGGTTAAACTGGTAGAATTAGTTCTAAACGTATTGTCTACTTTCATAGAGTTTTGCACATGTTGAATTTGTTTATAAAATTTATCACAAAATGAAATATTTGATCAAATTGTCTGCTATCTTATCGTAACAGTACAATAATAACTAGTTTTTACGTGAAACCATGTTATGGTTATATTGACTATAGTCAGCATTGTTTATAGACTTTCAAACTACCTTCTGCAATCCAAGGCTCTTACGTACTTTACCACTACCATTGCATTTTTTGGACCTTATAGTTGCAAGTCTTAATTTACATTATTAATGCGAGTCAGCTGTATCTATGTTGCTAAATTAACAATAAACCTTTTTAAAATTGTACTTGAAATATAACGAACAATATCTTAATTTATCATACTCAAATATCAGAAGATACTAGTGGTAGAAGTCAGGAATAATTACAATCTTTTGTCTTTGCCTTGATCGAAATTTCACTATTTACGAGTAGAACATTAAACATTTGTTCATTAAACAAATAAAGTGTTTAAAATGTTATCCTCTGTACGGATATAGATATATATCGTAATTCCTGTTCGCTGAATCATAAAATTATATCCATTTTTCTCCATCACGTAAGAATTTTCACAAAACGTCATATGCATTTTTACACAAATGAATCATTTTTACATGTTCTACAGTAATTCCTCTGTACGCATATAGATATCATTACTTTCTGTGACAGGTTTAAATCAAATTTATATCGACTTTAATAATGTTGAACAATAACAAGAAAGAAATATGGTTGAGAGCACTACGTTCTTGGTTTTGTTAAATTGGTAATAAATTTCTTCAGACGTTGACAGATTAGAGGTGTAAGCATTCAAGTCGTCATTTTTTGTTCTGGTAAAAACACTACACACAGTTAACAGACTGTAGGGTGTAAGCATTCAAGTCGTCATTCTGTGTTCTGGTAATAACACTGCACCCAGTTAACAGACTGTAGGGTGTAAGCATTCAAGTCGTCATTCTGTGTTCTGGTAATAACACTGCACACAGTTAACAGACTGTAGGGTGTAAGCATTCAAGTCGTCATTCTGTGTTCTGGTAATAACAGCACACACAGTTAAGAAGGTGGAAGCATTCAAGTCGTCATTCTGTGTTCTGGTAATAACACTGCACCCAGTTAACAGACTGTAGGGTGTAAGCATTCAAGTCGTCATTCTGTGTTCTGGTAATAGCAGCACACACAGTTAAGAAGCACTCAGTTGTCGTTTTGTGTTGTAATACCACTATCATTCCGTCTTACCTTCAGTATCTTGTTGTTGCAGTGTTCCATCTTGTATAAAAAAATCGAGAGCTCAATTTTAACAACAGAATTTTATAAGTAGCTCCATCAGTAATTAGTGGAATTAACTGAAATATTTATAGTATTTTGTTTTGTTTTGTGTGTGTGTGTGTGTGTAGGGATCCTATAAACAACAAGGAAAGGGAACCAAAAGAACCTCGGACCCTCATCCGCAGCCCGACTAGGTTAGGAATTACTAAAACTTATGAAGTCGGCGTAACCCTTTTCAAATTTAGTACAAATTCGCCTACTCCCATTATTCTGATAGTGAAAAAATACAGTTACATATCTTTAACTACAGAATAGTTTTCTGTATGTTTTTTCTTCACTGAAGTTGTTACTATTAGTGACAATAATTCATAAAGTTCGGGTGCATAAAACATTACAAATGTTACTTAATTACTTGGAAAAAAAGATAATATTTCATTTTTCCCTTTTGTTTCGCATAACCCTTCGATGAACACCATGCACCCCCAGGAGCGCTCGACAGCTCATGCCACAGTTTGAGAAGCTCTCTACTAAGCCATGCCTCTCCCCTGGTATAATTACACAGGTCTGCGATGGTTTTATTGTCTTGATATTTTTACATGTTCTTCAGTAATTCCTCTACGCTGAATCCGAAAATGATATCAATTTTTCTCCATCACGTACAGATTTTTCACAAAACGTCATATGTTCTTTTACATAAGCGAATCATTTTCATTGAAATCGGATCACATTTTGTTATGCTTAAAATGTTGGCAAACCACTGGCTATAGATTTCTCTAGACCAATCGCGACGTGAGAGTCTTATTGATAGTTCTAGAACTTAAACATAATAACAAAAAATGTTCATTGTGGTAAACGAAATAATAATTTGAATCTAAGTAAGTGTTTTTTTTTCTCTTCCTGATTTGTAAAAAATCCTTATGTGAAAAATCCTTATAGGTAAATCTGCGTAGTTGAATTATGGAGAATCCGTTATTAAAACCAAAACAACTTTTATGAAGTTGAAATTCGTAGGTCTGTGTAATCAGTCAGACTGTTTCATTATAAACCTTCTCTGTGTCACAATGTTAAACACAAGTTGGCGAAACAATTTATTATTATTTGTAAAATGTATTATTAATTTATAACTAATTAACTACTTAAATATTCTTTTACTTCAGGAATTAATACAAGTACCTACCTCAGACCAGATGCTGTCTAGTTCTTTCCTGTATTTTCCGTCACGTATTTTAGCGTTAAATGACATGATCTGATTCTTCACGTCTGAACCATGAAATAATGAAACAAAAAATCCATTTCCTTAAATATCAATTTAACATTTAATTTAAATATAATATTCAGAATACATTATTTATACTTGTACGTTATTTGACCGTCACTTAATCCATTTAAAAATAACACGAAACCAATGATTCTCCATAAATAATAAAACGAGTTTCGGTATTAACAAACAGAGAAGGAACTTTTTAGTTTGGAGGAATATTTAACACTAAAATTTAACCCCAATAGGTGAGAAAGTATTAAATAGGTAATGTTAATAGGTGCCATTGGTGATGATAAAACCATTAACAAACAGAGAAGGAACTTTTTAGTTTGAAGGAATATTTAACACTAAAATTTACCCCAATAGGTGAGAAAGTATTAAATAGGTACAAGGTGATTAAGTACAAAAACATTTATACAATATTTGGGTGAAAATTGCTTTCCATGGATTTCTTGTCAAAATGTGTGTGTGTGTGTATTTAAACATTTACCTAAAGCTGTAAACAGACTCAGAAATAAAGACTGCAGTATCATCTTTTACGTACTATGACAAACAAAACG